TGAGGTTTAGAGAGAGGTTCAGCGAGGTTTCAGTACGAGGCCAACAGCCGTCGCCCGCTTCTGCTGCTGCTGCCGCTGCTGCTGCTGTTGCTGCTACTACTGCTGCTGCTGCTGGTGTTCTGACTATGGTCAGCAGCATGAGGATTTGTTTATATGTTGTTAGTTAGGGTTTGTTGCAGGTTGGGTTTTGTTATAGTTGCGGTGTATGTACACCTCGCCGCGCCGGTATAGCCCGTGTAGGTCTATAAAATAAATATTTTTGTTTCTTTTTTTTTTTTTGTTTGTCGTCAGAGACAAGAAAAGAAATCAAAGAAAAAGAAGAAAATGCATCCGCCGCTCGCTGTCCCCTCTCCTGTCTCCTTCTGCAGTGTATAGTCTCCTCCTGCTTAAACCCTCTACCCCTGCAGCAGCAGCAGCAGCAGCAGCAGCAGCAGCAGCAGCAGCAGCAGCAGCGGGACCTCTGTCTCCTTTGGTTGCGGGGCCCCCATCATCGTCAGGGGCCCCCAGGGTACAGAATGCAGCACGCTGCTGCTGCCTTAAGCCCCTAGTGTGTCTCAGCAGCAGCAACTGCTGCAGCAGCAAGACGGCTGCTGCCGTGGGGTGTATGTGCAGCAGCAGCAGGAGAAAAAAATAAACAAAGGTTTCTTATTTTATACAGCTGATACAAACAGAGACAGCATGCGAGTGGGGGCCCCGGCGGCTGCTAGGGCCTCAGTGTTAGCGGCCCCCATCAGGGGGAGGTGTTGCTGCAGCGCCTTGCTGCTGCTGCAGCCGCTGCTGCTGCTGCTGCTGCTGCTGCTGCTGGTGTTGCTGCAGCAGCAGCAGCAGTTTCAGGTTGCTGCTGCTGAGACAGCAGCGGAGAATACAGGAGAAAATGCAGCAACAGAGGTAAGAGAGACAGAAAGCAGCAGAAGCAGAGACAGTGAGGCAGCGAGGAGACAAAAAAGGAGACAAAAAAAGAGAAAGAGAGAGAAAGAGAAAGAAAACAAAAAAAAATAAAATGCAGAAACAAACAAAGACACACACTCGCACCGTGTGGGGTGTACATACACCCCAATGCAGCAGCAGGTGTCTTTATACTCACAGACGGCCTGGATGCTCTGCTGCTGCTGCTGCTGCTGCTGCTGTTGTTGCTGCTGCTGCTGCTGCTGCTGCTGTTTGTCTTGCTGCTGCTGCAGCTGCTGCTCGTTGATGCAGCAGAAAGAGAAAAGAGACAAACCAAAGACGGCGCTGCTGTCTCCTTTCTGAAGGTACTGCGCACAGACAGACAGGCAAGCACCCACGGCGTCTCTCTGTCTCCTTTCTGTCTCCTTTTTTTGTCTCCTTTTTTTCTGTCTCCTTTCTGTCTCCCTTTTTTCTGTTTCCCTTCTCTCTCCTTTCTGTCTCCTTTTCTGTCTCCCCTTTTTCTGTCTCCTTTTCTTCCGTTTCCTTTTTTTCTGTCTCCTTTTCTTCTGTCTCCTTTTCTGTTTCCTTTTCTGTCTCCTTTATGTCTCCTTTATGTCTCATTTCTGTCTCCTTTTCTGTCTCCTTTCTGTCTCCTTCTCTGTCTCCTTTCTGTCTCCTTTCTGTCTCCTTTTTTTCTGTATCCTTTCTGTCTCCTTCTCTGCCTCCTTTCTGTCTCCTTTTCTGTCTCCTTTCTGTCTCCTTTTTTTCTGTTTCCTTTTCTGTCTCCTTTCTGTCTCCTTTTTTTCTGTCTCCGTTTCGGTCTCCTTTCTGTCTCCTTTTCTGTTTCCTTTTCTGTATCTTCTCCTTCTCTGTCTCTCCCCCTTTGTTCTGTCTCTTTCTCTGCCTCCTCCTCTGTCTCCTTTCCTTCTCGTCTGCTGCTAAAGCTGCAACTGCTGCTGCTTCAGTTCGTGCTCACCGACAGCTGTACCTGCTGCTGCTGCTGCTGCTGCTGCTGTTGCTGCTGCTGCTGCTGCTGCTGCTGCTGCTGCTGCTGCTGCTGCTCGTTTCAGGAGAAAGGTATAGAAGCCTCTGTGCCCTTCGTCGGCTCTGCATCCCAGCAGCAACATTTCCGTGTCTTAGCAGCAAAAGGCATTGCGTCTGCTGCTGCTGCTGCTGCTGCTGCTGGCTCATCTGCAGACGCAGCAGCAG